AAGTATGTTTTTCTTAAATCTCTAAAAATTAATATTCAATTAATAATAATTAAAATAAAAATTAAAATAATAATTACAAAAAATAAAAATTAATATTAATATTTCGAGATCAGACTAAAAGCTAATAGTGGCTTAGGTAATAAGATTATTGTATAACATTTACCTGGGTTTTAGTCATTGATGGTTGAAATAATCTATACATACAGATAAATAAAATTGGAGTGTCTGTTTGTAATATTAAAATAACCTCTTTTTACTAAATGAATATGGATGTATACACGGTACATATACCAAAATAATGAGAAAGGACATAAGCTATTTTTTAATTGGAAAAAGGGTTATAAAGGGTTCTTAAACCGGATAGATATTTATTTAAGGGCTTCAACGCGGCCGAAGCCGCGGGCGAAAAGCAAAAAAATTCAAAAATTAAACAATTAGCATTGCTGATAAAAAAAACATAAAAGAGAAATAACAAATAAGTGGACACGTATCAATACATATAATAAAAATGTAACTGATCGTTGTCTGTACATGAAAGATATTTAAAGGAATAAAAATCGGCCAAGTGCGATTTGAACTCGCGAGCCGGTACAAAATATGGACGCTAAATCTCACCGATAAAACGCAACGCTATCGCCCTCTACGACATACTTAAGTAACGGCTCAGTGAGCTCGGCTTGAACTAGTTCACCTTTTTACATATAGAGGGAGCGACGATAGTTTATTATTTTCTTAAAATAATTTTTGTAAAAAATTATGTAATGTTATGATTAAAATGGTCAATATTTTTACAAAATATTTACGGTTATTGTTGAATATTTTAAAAGTGGAACAGTTATTTAAATTAGATATCTAAGTTTATCTGGTTTCGAATGCAGGACTTTTAACACTTTACATATCGAAAATTCAAGTAGTCTCTCGACTGGGAGCGTGGCGTCTCCTGTAATCCGGCTACTCGGAGGTCGGGTTTGGAGGATGGTTTGAGGTCGGGAGTCCTGGTGCTGTGTGGCCCATGTTGACTGGACGTCCACACTAAGCCTGGTATTAATATGGAACCTCCGGAGGAGTCTGGAGGTTGCAGGTTAACTAAGGAGGGGCGAACCGGGCCAGGGGGGAAACCCAGCAGCCAAAAGTCCCCGTATCGGGCAGTAGTGGGATAGCGGCCGGGAGTGGGTGCTCAGTAACAGCCTGACCAATATAATCAGACCCTTTCCTTTTTGCCAATCTTGCGTTGGATGCTACGTTTGGCAGTACTTTTCATATTTCAATATATATTATTTAATATATTTTATTCATAACATTATATCATTTTCACACTTTATACCTCTTCAATTCAAAACATGTTTTAATAGAGTTTATTAACATTTAACTTAAGTATGTAGTTACCATACTACTATTCTGAAGAGAACGAAACAAGTAGAAATCTGAAGGTGCAAGGTCAGGACAATACGGCGGATGCATTAACACCTCCCAGCCAAACCCTCTTAATTTTTGCTGAGTAGCTAAAAATGTGTGAGGTCTAGCGTTACCACGATGAAAAAACCACACCCGTTCTGTTGATTAATTTCGACCGCTTTCTCTCAACTTCTAGCTTTAATCTCATCAGTTGTTCGCAGTAGAGTTCAGAATCAATGGTCATGTATGGCTGTAACAGCTCATAATGTGTAATGCCCTTCCAATCCCACCCCAGTTTGAGAGATAACCCCAGTTTCGCCAGGGTCTGTGAAGCCTGACCAGCCTTTGAACACGACCTTTTTCACACGTTCTTGTCGTATGTGATCCACTTTTCATCACAAAATATCATGTTTTTCAAAAATGGTTCGGTTTCATTACGTCGTAATAAAGAATTACAAATGAGTACACGGTTCATTAGGTTTCTTTCAGTGAGCTCATGAGGCACCCAAATATCGAGCTTTTTTGTGGACCCAGCTTTTTTCAAATGCGCCAAAACTGTTTTGTGGTCAATTCCCAGTTCTTCAGCTTCATCGTAACTACTGATATGCCGATCTTGCTCCACTTTTTCAAAAATGGCATCCATTTTATCCAAACAGGGCGCCCAGGGCGAGGTGCATCTTTGACATCAATATTTCCGGATTGAAACGCTAAAACCAAATTTGTGCTACTCTCACAGACACTGCACTAGGTCCATAAATATCACAATTTTTTTCGCGGCTTGCGTTACATTTTTACCTTTTTGGTAGTAAAATTTTAAAATTTATCGAATTTCTTCATTAGAATCACTCATCTCAATAGTAAGAGAAACAAATGAAAATCACACATTTTACAAATTTCAATTTGGAGTTGTCTTTTTTAAAATTTAAACTTTTTAATAATACCAAAACCAAATAAAAATGGCATAGCCAAAGAGTTTACATTATAAGTATATGCATACTATTTGCGAAAAGAGTTTTTCCCCAACCTAATATTATGCTATTATGATATGCTATTATTAAGATATATTACGCTTTTCAGAGGGGTAATTATTTTAAATTATTACTCTATCTTATGAAAATCCCGAAGAAAGTTAAAACAATTAAAAAAAAATGAAAACAATGGAATGCCATTATAGTGTATACAAATTATATGTATTATTGTATGTACAAATCTTTCAGTTGTTACTTAAATTGGGTTTTATGCTTTTATTTAACCTCATATATGAAAGAATCAATAAAATATTCTTTGTGTCTTGGATATGTGTTGAAAATTATTAGTGTTCAATGATTATAAAACTGTATCTAATGTATATAATAAAAAAAGGCATAAAATCAGTTCATTCATTTAGCATTGACAAAAGTCAATCAATAAAATTATAATAACACTTAAAATTTTCAAAATAAATTTCGTTATTGAGGTTTCCGTGGCACATGTGTTTTTTGGTACAATAGCCTTTTTTCCAGCGCGGGATTAAGTTCTTCGGACGATTCTTTTATATCAGATTTTTCTCGAGGCACTTCGGATTTAACCTCTCTTAAGAACAAAGACTCTGTTGAGAGTAGCCCTTATCTGTGTGCGATACGAATATTTGTCCCGTGTTGTAATAGAACCCACGACCTCCGGTTCCGAAGTCAATAGCATCTGCGCCACCAAGACAAATTTCATTCTACAGAAAGAAAATATTAGTTAATTCATTTCAACTGTTATTCATAATGAATGAGTGTTGGCGGAAATTACGCTTAAGTCATCCTCTAACAGTCCCCATGGGTGTGATATTATAGAGATAAAGGCAATAAATCTGTAAATGAATAGAAAAAAATATTAGAAATAATAGAATAGAAAAAAATAATGTTTTTCTCCATTCCGTGATAAATGTAAATACATCACTATTAAGCGTGAATTTTTGTGCATCTAAAGATGTTTTAGGGTTCCGTACCCAAAGAGTGAAACGGGACCCTATTCTTAATATTCCGCTGTATGTCTGTCCGTCCGTTTCTCATGACGCTTGATCTCACTAACCGTGATAGTTATACAATTGAAATTATCACGGATGATGTATTCCTGTTGCCGTTGTAACAACAAATACTAAAAAACAGAATAAAAAAATATTTAGTGGTGCTCCCATACATGACATATTTTGCTGTTTTTATAGATAATGGTACGGAACCCATCGTGCGTGAGACCGACTCGCACTTGACCGGATTTTTTATATTCTACGGATTCATGTTCTTAGAATGGTTCAGAATTTTTGGGGAAAATATGATGATTTATATTTCTGTTTTAAACTAAATTAGAAAGAAAACACAGGTTTAAAAAAATGAAAAGTATTGGTTATAAACAAAAATTATAAAAGGAACTTACAAAAAAGAGTTATCTTAAGATTCTTAAATCTTACTGATAAAAACGAAAACTCTTTCACCCTCTACGATATAGTAACTAGTATCGGCTCAGTGAGCACGGTTTGAATTAGTTCACCTTTCTACGTATAGAGGGAGGGACGATAGTTTATTTATTTAAAAAAAATTGTAAAAAAACTATGTACTGTTATGATTAAAATGGTCAATATTTTTACAAAACATTTACGGTTATTGTTCAATAATTTAAAAGTGGAACAGTTATTTAAATTAGATATCTAAGTTTATCTGGTTTCGAATGCAGGACTTTTAACACTTTACATATCGAAAATTCAAGTAGTCTCTCGACTGGGAGCGTGGCGTCTCCTGTAATCCGGCTACTCGGAGGTCGGGTTTGGAGGATGGTTTGAGGTCGGGAGTCCTGGTGCTGTGTGGCCCATGTTGACTGGACGTCCACACTAAGCCTGGTATTAATATGGAACCTCCGGAGGAGTCTGAAGGTTGCAGGTTAACTAAGGAGGGGCGAACCGGGCCAGGGGGGAAACCCAGCAGCCAAAAGTCCCCGTATCGGGCAGTAGTGGGATAGCGGCCGGGAGTGGGTGCTCAGTAACAGCCTGACCAATATAATCAGACCCTTTCCTTTTTGTCAATCTTGCGTTGGATGTTACGTTTGGCAGTTTGCAGCTAACGCTTCGCTAAAGTAACACTTCTAAATTCTAAATTATTGCTCTATGTTATGGAAATCCCGGAGTAAGTTAAATCAATTTCTTTTCTAATTAATGAAAACAATGGAATGCATGTATATTATATTAAAATTTATATGTTCAAAACTTTCACAAAGCCTCCATTGCTGTTACTTATATTGGGTTTTTTGCTTTTGTTTAACTTCATTTATGAACGAATCAATAAAACATTGTAATTGACTTGGATATGCGCTGCAAATTACGTGTTTAATAATTAGTGTTAAATAATTATAAAACTGTAATGTATATAATAATAAAGGCATAAAATCAGTTCATTCATTTATTACAGCATTGACAAAAGAAAATCATTAAAATTACACTCGCGGAATTTCTAAATAAAATTCGTTATTAACGTTTCCGTGGCAGACAAAATGTGTTTATTTGGTACAATAGCCTTTTTGGAAAGCTTCGCACAATAACTACTTAACAAAGCTTTTGCGAAGTAATTCTAAATAAGGTGACAAACTTATGGGACAGACGTCAACGACAGTTCTTTACCCTTGGTCTTGGCCTCTTTAATCTCGGGAATATCTTTCTTGACTTCAGCAAGCTTCTCAGGCATTTCAATCTTTTCCTCCTTTTTCATCATAGAATCCTTTATTTCCGGCTCTGGTTTCGGTTTTTCGGACGGTTCTTTTGCATCGGATTTTTCTTGAGGCACTTCGGATTTAACTTGTGGCTCTATTTTTTCCTGTGGAATGGAACGTTCCTTGAGCAAAAGTAAATTAGAAGAGCTAATGGAATGCGGTGGTATTCAGCGTAGGCCGCTATCCATAGCATGAAACAAGTTAATATCGTAGCCAAAAGAGTAACTTAACAAGTTATTCGTGATACCCAGTACCCGTTGCCATGTAATAGTAGTTGTGTGGTATTAACGACTGAAAAATATACTTCACTAATTGTTCACCGAGGCAACAGTTAAATACAAATATTCCATAGCTAAACATAAAATTTAATTATAAATTTTAGTTATCTTTTTATTAATAAGAACATATGTTTTTTTTTATAAACTAAAATACAACATGTTTTAAGACACAAATCTAGCCCACGGCATTTTGCTAGCTACATTTCTTCACTGAGTCGTTAAGTTTCACATTTGAGTGTTTAAACAACAAAATCTAAAAGAGATATGTGAGTACGGGTGTACAATCTACAGGAAATCCTGCTACATAAATGAATATAGGAACCTAGTCTTTTATTTTCGTGTATGTTTCTTTTACCTCTACGATTTGCTCGGGTACTGAAGCGGCAGCGATAGGGACCATGCTTGCATGTTTCCCGGAGACATCGGCTACGCCCGCATCTTTGTATTCGGCGTAGGCTGCTGGCTCAGGCAGAATGTAACAGTCCTCCTGATTGGTCTTCACGAAGAACGCCCTGGACACTTTGAACCTTTCCAACGCAGCGTACGCCTGTTGCAAGATTGTAGGCGACGCTAGTCTGTCGCGGGTTAGCACCCAAGCATTTTCTGTAACAAGCAAAGAATTTTTGTTTCCATTTGTAATTCGAAAATGTACAGTCAGGGCAAATTTGAAAGCCGATAGAGCGTATTCTATCAGTCTTTCCTTTAGAGCAGAGTTTTAAGGATGTGCATTTAGTCTTCAGAAACTGTCTAAATCGAATAAAGAACCGGCTAGGTGCCAGACGGACACGCCGCACGAAGTGTTCCTTAACATTATCTGTAAAAAAGGCAATAAAATCGTGTTTGTTGTATTTTTTTGTATTCTGTTTTTTAGTATTTATTGTAGCGGCGACAGAAATACATCATCTGTGAAAATTTCAATTGTCTAACTTTCACGGTTACAGATACAGCCTGTTGACTGACGGACTGACATAATAATAGACACATTGACAGCGGAGTCTTAGTAATAGGGTCCTGTTTTACCCAGGTACGGAATCATAACAATTCTTCCCTTTACGTTATAGGTATTTGTTGAACTATAATTGTATTTGTATATGTTGTAATAGATTTATGTACAATCAGTGTTTGAAAGAATGAAGACAAAATTAAGTTTCTTCGTGATGTACTTACGAATGTGCACTGGACCTATCCCGCTGCATGACCACATCACGGCGTAGCTCTCATAATCTGTATCGAGGACGCTGAACTCAGTGTCGTATGGGACAGGTAGAGTGGCGTATTTGACGATCATACGCCCCTCACCATCCCGACCGATCATTTGCAGGTGTCCATCTAACACTCTCTTCATTCCGGTCCTGTATCAATAAATTATGATATATATTTAACTGTCTCCAATAAAAACAAAGCTGTAAATGATATTTTCCACCTTATTTTTATAGACTAATTAGCTACTTAAATGCTAGGTTTAATTTAAAGATAGATTTCACCGCATTGTATAACGTTTTTGATTTTTTTTTCAAAAATACAAACATTCATGTCATTTTACATAATAATGTGAAATATGTAACTATCATGTTCTGTTCTTTGTTTTTTATGTTGAAGAAGTATTTTCGTTTAAAATATCTGTGAATATGTAACACATTGAAAGCTCAGTGTCCCGGCGCTCGCCTTGAATTCAACATGCTCGAGCAACCTGAGTTCGATTCCCGGTGCCGGCATCAATGAAAGTGTTAGTTTTAAGTTGTTTTAATGCCGACTTATCACGTGCTTAGCGGTGCAGGAAAACATCGTGAGGAAACCTGCATATTTTCGAAATAATAACCAAGTGGTGGACTATGCCGTGATACCCTATGTACAGAGGAGACCTCGAGGAGACATGTATAGGCTGTTACTTTAAGTAACTTTATCAGGTCGAACGCATGAAGTATTTTCATGTTTCCCTTTGGCTATGTCCAAGTAGATACTCACATGGCGTTGGTGATCTCATTGGAGACTAGGATCCTGCCCTCCGGCGTGCTCTCGTACTTGGTGGTGACGCAGCGGCTGCCGAGCTCGCTCACCGTGAAGTATCGCTCCGCCTCGTACCAGGTGCCCAGGAAGCGGTTCATGTTGAAGCTGGCCATGGGCTGCAACAAAAGATAAAAAGAAAGAAAGAACGAATACTAACGTTATCTCTAAAACACGATTTATAGTGTTTTAGAGAGTTAGGATCTTCCGATGATGGAGGGCAGTGTGGAAGATATTTGACGATAAATGCGTATTAGGACGCGAAGTATATTATAATATACTAGGGACCCGCTCCGGCTTGTGCACTGTATTTTACATATAAACCTTCATCTTGAATCACTCTATCTAATAAAAAAACCGCATCAAGATCCGTTGCGTATTTTAAAGATCTAAGCATACATAGGGACAGACAGACGGCGGGACGACTTTCTTTTATGTAGTGATGATAATGCCATTCAGGGGAGAAATATGAGACTTTAAGGATATTTGTTAAGTGGTGTAAGTATTTTATAATCAAAGTGCCATACATATCGAAATGTATAAGTGTAAATAACAATAAGTATTTGACTAGGTTTTTTCAATTTAAGTCTTTTGATGCGTGTATACCATATACTCATCGAAAACGAGTGTCTTGCAATAGAGCAATGTCAATGGCCGTGAATTGCGACCGGTTACGCTTTGTACGCGGCCGACGCTACTTACTAATTATGTAACAGCTGATGTGTGACCCGAAAGTATCATGTCAAGGCCGAATCGCGATTTCATTTGTTATCCTATAATCAATTCGGCGTCAATTTTACAGTACCGTACAGTACGCAATGAGGGCTTTACGCAGTTTATTTAATTGCAAAATAGAATTGCTGTAAGCCTATTGCACCCACTCTTGCCACAAACATGTGATAATGATTTTTTTAATCTCAAATTTTCGAGCAGACTTTCGTTTTCCTATTAGAACTAATTTTGCTTTTTGAATTTAACATGTATTAAATAAACAAAAGAACTAACGATAACGATGAAAGGACACTAATGTAAGAACATTTGAAAGACCTTCAAATAGAGCATGCAGTGTGTTTTATAGATATTTAGAATCTACTCACCTGATAGTCGGGGCAGAAGCCCAGTGATGGGATTTGGGCCGACACGGCAGCGACGAGGAAGATCAGGCGCCACATGATTGAAGACTGGGGGATTACTGCTCGAGGGGGCTGACGGCACAGGAATGGTCCCAGAGGTCCCGATGCCCGCTTTTAAATCCCCACGACACCGCCAACCGGTCCCGCAGTTTAAAAAAGCATCTAATGCGAAGGCTCATCTAGCAAGCATACGATTTATTGTCCCTAGAATGGATATTGTACCGGCCCTTGTTAGGAGATGTGTACCTGTACTCGTGTTAATGGATCGTGAGCATTGTTTGTTTTTATTCATCGCGTTTAGACAAAGCGGGTTTGTTTAAATAAGAGTAGTGTAGCCGATTGGTATCCAAGCGATTGCAATGCTTAGCGCTGTGGATGCCATCTGCCCAAAATAGCATGAAATGATTAGGAGGCAGGTCAGTTTCACGTACTAATTCCCAATCTAGAAAACAAAAATTTATAACTACGCTCGGAATACAATACTCGATATTTTGAAAGTTAAATAACGATAAAGTTTGTGTTGCAGCTGCTAAAAGCATATGATCACGATATTTTCCTTCACCGCTGAGCACGTGATAAGTCCGCACTTAAAGTTAACAATGTCGTTGGTGCTGACACCGGGGATCGAACTCAGGTTGCTCGAGTAAATTGAATTAAAGGCGAGTGCCCGGACACTGAGCTATCACGGCTCTCATTGCTACATAATTTACCTAACTGTAACATAAGTAATAGGGAAATGAATAAGGTAGAAATTATTTGATGTATTGTTACCATAAGGGTCACAATCCATCTAAAATGGATATTTTTTCACTGTCTTGCTTAGTACTTGATTGATCAGAGCTTTAACCGTAATAAACAGTACAGCCCAAGCCATCAGAAAAGCTCCGAAAAACAAGCGGAATATCCCAACACCACTACCAGTACGGCCAAATGTGTTTGTTTGGTCAAGTGTACAACTGAGTCGGGAAAGTTCCACTGTTTCGTCTATAAATATGTTACAATTATAATATGAAGCATCTCAAAAGCTGAAGTGGAATGTTCCCAGAGCCTACCTCAACTCGACTAGCAAAAACAGGCGAAAACCATCTGCCCCCACCGGTTTTGGCGTTTGCTTCGTTTTTCATTTTCTATCTTTCCCGTCTATTTTTAAACAGCGTATCAGTATGGAGACTGAATAGGCGAGTTTTATTTTGCGTCATGCGTGTCTTTCATTATGGACATGGCTAGTAATGTACTTGGTACATTAAATAAATATGGAGTGATCCATACTCTTTAATAATTAAAAGTCGCATGACGATAGCTGTTAAAGAAGTCTACAAGTTCATCTTTTAGTATTCCATTATCATTTTCAAATTAATAAAAAGCAAACTGTAGACGTTTTATAGAGTGGGTGAGGTAATCCCCTCCGGTTACTTTTTATTAGCCGGTTATTTATCAAAAACTTGTCGAATGTCGATAGGACGTGATGACATACGAACGTGGACTGTTCTTGTGAACTGTGCTTGAGATTTTTATATACTTTAATTAATTTTTTTGATGAAATTAATATGGAACCACATTGGGAGCTAAACCGAGACTAACGCAAAATATTTTTTTTAAAATAGGTTCTTAATTATCAGAGCTCTGAGGTAATAAACATAAGAAATACAACATAATTGAGAAAAGAACCTCCTTTTTTATTAATTTTTAACCTCTTCTTTTCCTTCTCCAGCGTGTGTTCCACCGTTGGGCATACGCCTCTCCAATTTCCTTCCATATAATATGGTTCATTTCCCTTGTTCAAACTGTGCCTACTGTCTCCTTAATGTCATCGGAGCATAATTGATAACATCATTATAAATAATTAATTTTCTTTTTTTAAATTAAATAAACATTATTCCGCATCTGCACATGAATTAAACTCATCATAGGTGATGAGTTTAATTCATGTGCATGTGCTCTCGAGTTGATTTCTCATAAATATATACATACATTTCGCGTATTATAATACTCGTCATGACACATTAATAAAAAACCTCCGTGGGAAAATCCTTGCTTAAAAGTAAGCAAATATTTATATTCATATTTGATTACATACGTTATAAGCGTAACACTGGTGGTATTCATACCGAAAAATTATATATATACGAACAAATATTTCTTCTGTAATAGAGACATGCAGCGATTACGACGACTGCACAGAGTACAGAAGGATGCACTTACTGCAGAAATGTCAGACCTCTGTTAAGCGTTGCAGATAGGCAGTTGGTACTAAACATCAGGTGAAACGCATCTGCATCCTACGTTCGCCGTAGGGCATGTCTAGAACTAGAGGCTGATTAATTAAAATTGTTAATTGACATATTTGACTTAAATTTTGTGGGCTTGTTTTGATACCGAAGGAATTATTTACCAAAATAAAGTATGCAGTCTGTCAAGTTGTAACGTTGCATCTAAATGCACCCTTCCATTTTTTAATAATATTTGTAAACAAACAAATTATATCCGTTCGCGTAGCCTGCACGCCATACCGACGGATCCCTAAATTCGGAAGCGTTCGGCGAAATTCGGTGACGCGAACGCTTCCCCGTTTGGGCCAATCGTACGAGACTACGTTTCGCACGTCAGACAGAGCGGTCACTGTGCTGTGTGCTACTGATAAGTAACGACCGACTATTTTTTAAAAAACTCAGAACGGTTAAATCCAATTTGATCCCGCTGGGGTGAGTTGTCATTACTATATTGTAACTGTGTATTACTATATTGTAACTGTTCTGCTTTTTATTTTTTTTCTTGCTGGTGCTGCTTAGCGTAAGAGTGTAGCTTTCATAAAAGGGGACACTGAGCTCGAGTAGGGTTTGTCCAGCGCCGTTTTAAGCCGCCCTAATGCTTGCCTTCGTCTGGCTTCCAGGATCTCCCTACTCTAATTATTAGCCGAGCGCTGCCGCCCGGATTAATACGGCCGAGCTACCCGATCTACAGAGCCCGAGACCCCAGATACCGACGGCTTTGAAAAATCGGCGTAGAACAATTCCTGGACGTCTTACCCTACGTCAGGCCAGTGAACAACCACCACACTTAGCTGTTGTGTGCGGAAGTATGACAAATAAAGCTATAAAAGAAATAACACCGAATCCTTGAACCCACCTACCCTACCTTTAGAATTTAGCCGATAGGCTACAAAGTCACAGTAGGGGTAGGGCGGTAGGACTATCTCCAATTCCTCTGACAACAGTGGGGTATGTATGTATGTACGTAGATATCTATACACCAAATTCGTATGACACATTTTTCTCTAAATAAACTATTCTTTTTTATTTAGTTTGAGTGATTGATGATCGAATTATACTTATTAATTATTCGTGATTCAGTTCAAAGTATCCCGAAGAGCATTATGGAAACAAAATATATGTTATGTCACAACATACATATTACATTTTGTCACAACTCAAAAATAATGTAGTTCACGGAGGTTGTTCTGTTTACTTCTATTAAATTAAGTAATTACTTTATCTATCTATAATTAGCTTGGCTGTTTAAGTATTTTTTTTGTAATGAATTAGGGTTTTTTTGTGAATTTCATACGCAATTGCTTATCCAATTCGAGCTATCCTTTGTTACTTAACTTAATATGTAGCTAGGGAAAAAAAACAACATCGGCATATGTAACTAAAATATTCTCGTTATTTAATTTACTACGGTAAGAACACATTTTTACAGAATGTTAATGGTCTAAACAATATCTACAGAAAATTGTACACTATGTGAAAACTTACAGAATAATTTTTTAATTTACAATCAACAGAGAAAAATCAATATTCAAGTTCAACAAGATTAAGTTAAGCTTTATTTTTTTCTTTAGTAGACTTAATTACTAATATATTTACAATTATTCTTAACAAAGTCATGTATAAGACAGAAATATTTCGACAAAACATTTTAACTGCATTTTTAAGTTTTACTTTACTTCGTTACAGTGCGCTACGGATAGCGACAACGGCTTTTCCGCATTTTGAAAATATCGCAGAAAAAATAAAACATGATAAAATCACAATTTATGGGCATAATTCAAAAATATAACGTAAATATATTTTCATTACATTTTTTATATTATCTTTTTCTTTTAAATGTAGTAATTTGAGTTAATTTTGTACATAACACATTAATGAAGTTGCAATTTCGAATACAGTCCAATTAAGTACGCTCATTTCATCATGTTTTAAATTATCCTAGATTGTTAAAAAATGTCGAATCCATAGGCAAGGTGAAGAGGTTATTTAAAATAGGATAGGATTCAAGTTGCATTGTCCAGGCACCACCAGGTTCTCCACCGGTATATCACAACGTTCTTAAATACTATAAAATTCAATCAAGTTGATTTAAAAAATATACGGATTTGTTCGAAACACGTTTTACGTATAACTTGGCAGGGTAATATTTTAAAGGGGGACTGTATTGTCATGTGATCTACTTATTAACTAAAGTCTATGTACACCAATAAAAAATTCCAAAATGTGGAAAGCGCAATGGAAGACAGCGTTCTCGTTGCGTTCTACAATAAAAAACAGGTATTTATCACATAGAATAATCTAATGATACCGTGAAATCACAATACTTAATATTAAATTGTTCCCCAATTGCAAAATTGCGTCAATACGCGACGCTTAAACAAAACACGACAAAAAAACAAAAAAAAAAATCAGGTAAATAGGTAACGATCGAATGATAAATTAAAGCGTATCGACAACTTTTGCCGCTTACACAATGTTTTGAACAAGCTGGTAACTTTAGTTCTCTTGGTGTGAACAAATAATTCGCTTAAATGATTGTTCTTACATTCAACAACATTATTGCCACATTAAGTAATTTTATAGCATTAAAAGCGACACCTATTGTACAGAATGAGTATTTCGGAATATGTAACAGAACTCTCAGACGTATAATACATTTTTTTTTAAATTCGGCCTCTAACATGAATTCGCTATTGCTTATGTAGAATTTAAAGATTTTGGAAACATCACTGAACATACAGTTTTAACTAAAGTAAGCATTTATAACTGGCCATGATACTAATGTGTTCGAAGAAAGGCTTCCAAGGTCTTTAAAACTAACAGAAATATATATTTATGCTGGTATATGTTCACATGAAAATAGCGCTTGTTAAGCTTTACATTAACTCTAACATAGTAAATTAATCAAAAAATAGAAAGATATTTAACTTTAATACAATAGCTCGCAGTGGAATTATGAAGTAGTTACAGATAGAGGAAAGATAATATTTACAGTCAGTGAGATTATTAAATTGGTACCTACATACTTTATATTTAAGAAATCAAAATTTCAGGTCCCTATAATTTCTCTTAAATGTAAACACCAAAACATGCTTCACTTTTAACGCTTTACAAATCTTTGGTGCTCATCCACATTGCATTTATATCGGCACAAACAAACGAAAGTATAAGCTGTATTAAAATTTAACGTTAAGAACACATTTTCTTTTATTTATTTTAGAATTTACGTAAATAAGTGATAAAACCTAATTTTGAGATTACATGTGTCGTTGAAAAGCTGCGAAATATCGAGTCAGATAAAATTTATTGGAACAAAGTGAAATTATGATAAAGAGTTAAGCTTTGAGATCGATAATATCCTTTGAATTTTCTTTCGATGAACAAAATTTTAGAAGAGTGTGCAGTTCACGCTTTACTTATTTGTATATCTTAAGTTACCAGTATTAAAATTTGAGATATCGATTCTGAAACTCTGACAGTGTATTTCTGCCAATTGGTGTGAATGAACAACACAATGATTTGTCTAATGCTAAGTTCCAATTCTGACTAGAAACATTGACCGTACACTTCGGGGCGAATCGTAAAGTCAATGCTATTGAACCCACTCTGACGTCACCCACTGTTTTATTTTAAACGCTGATTTAAATTAGGAGGTAGTTCATGTGACGTTCTCATTATTAAGGCGGTAAAATGTTCGCAACTTTTCTTTGACGTTCGCGTCTATTTTCTATGCTTAAGGAATTAATGTGTCGGTGGCTTTTAAATAATATTTACGCTAATGAAATACATCTTTCAAATAAATACTATCTCGGAAGGTATTGGTCCCAGATTATAATTTTTAAACAAATTATAACAATTTGGACCCATGCGGCAAACATGATTGTTTCAAATCATTCATAAACATAACACCCGCAGCCACCTCCTTCTGCGAATGTCTCAATTTGAGTATCGCTCTGCGATTACAAAAATCTTACCACTAAAACACTTAATGTAATATCCTTTTTTAACACATATCACAATTGAAGCTCACGTAGTGAGAGAAATATCATTGTCCAATATTACGCGGATAGCCGCGTCAAGTGGGCGGGCGTCATTCGTGCAAGTTCTTGCTCAATAGCAGACTATTGTGCGGTCCCGACAGGTGTCTGATGAGCTCAGGCAGCGCTTCGAACGTCAGCTGACAGAAGCAGCAGTTGAAACGGCCCGGCGTGTTGGTTCGGCCGTCGTTCTCGCTCGATGATATAACGTTACGGTGCACCGAGCACAAGTGCTTCAGCAAATGGGCCTTCTGTTTGAACATCGCGACGCAGAGCCGGCAAGCGAAAGGCTTCTCGCCCGTGTGCACCCGCAGATGCGTCTTGAGATTCCACGACATACCGAATTGTTTGCCACAGTACTCGCATCGGTATTCGCGAACCGGCGCTTGTTTGCTCGATCCCTGTTCGTGCTCCGTGGAGGGGGTGTCGTCGCCGCCCATTTGCGGTTGGCACAGCCACGGGCCCCAGGATCCCGCGCTGGGCGGTCGGTACTTTAGCGCGTCTTCGTGCGCCGCCGCCGGCGGAGTCGCGCTCCTCTCCGGTAAATAGGGCGGCGCCGACGCACTTAACGGGTGAAAGGTACCAAGCCGACCACTGGCCACGCTGGCCGCTACACCTGGACCTTGTGCGTATCTTAAATGTGCCATCTCTTCCAGGTAACTTGGGGGGAAAGACACGAATGGTGGATTTTGCGACGGTGAATTGTGGAAGCCTGGTCTTCTTTTCCTATGCGGGGTGACGACGTAATTTTCCGGAGACGTCTGAACTAGCGTCATTAGATCTTGGTCGGGCGGTTTGAGTTGTGCGTAATCCTCTAGCTTCACCGTTCGCAGGTCCAACTCAGGAGGTTCGAGGTAATGTGATTTTCTCTTAGCCCTTTCAATACCTTTGCCTAATCGATCATTTAATAGTTGTCTTCTGTATACCGTCTCTTGTGGCGGATCTTCTTGGCTTGACGACGTCGACCTTCTTCTTCCAATATTCTGAAAAATAATAATTATTTTATAATATCCAGATGGATTAAACTGATTTTTTATTCGAGTTCCTTTAGTTATTTAAATAAAAATAGTTAGTCAAAAGATATAATATAATAGTATATACCTTTGCTGTGACCGTTTCGACATCGAGATCCTGACAATCATCGTGTTCGCTGCCTGTATTTTCAGAGTTCCTAGCTAATGATAAATTGACGGGGTTAGACGAACTCCTCCGCCGGCTTGACAGGCGACCGCACTCTTTGCCTCTGTTTTCTCTATCGGGCTCCTCATCATCTCTTTCGTCGTTACTGCTTGTCGACATTGTTTCCTTCTTTATACTAAGCGATTCACTATCGCCCCTCTCCTTGTCCTTACTGTAGCCCGCGCTCGGTGTAATTCTATCGCTCTCAGAATGTGATGACCCCGATGGCGCGTCATGTTTACTGCTCTCGTTGCTGTTTATGTCCGTCTTAAGGGTTTTGGCTTTTAATCTGTCGCACGATCTGTTCCTCTCTTCCTGTTGCTGGCGTTCCTTTGTCGATTTCCAAACGTCCGATTTTATCTCCAACAGTTCGAACAGTTCTTGCATATCATCGATTTCTCCAGACTGAAAATTAGCGAAAGGCACAGTTCAGGAATGTTTGTGACAGAAAAAAAGTTCTCTTCAAAAAAAATCTAGACGTTTTGTCAGCTCATTTTTAGAATATTAATGCATACGCACCTCTATGTATGCTTGACCGCTGTACAGGAAGACAAGTAGGTGCCTCATTAGGGTACTGTTGATGCCGGACATGTGAATCGTGACTGGATTCTCGACCGATGGTGTATCGTCAAGTATTTTCCTGAAACACGATGTAACATTTATAAAAGGGAGTCCGGAACAATAACGCATCATCATGAAGGTTATTTAAAAACAGGACTAACACCACAATTGTTTCTTATCACCATCAAAGAATATATATTGTTATTAATTGTTAACAGTTTATGGTATTATGGTAACTTGTCAGTTACTGGTTAACTATCGTTAACTTTAAGGTGTCCGCTAAAAATAATCGAAGTTATTTATAGAGAATAAAAAATAATATAGAGAATAAAAACTTGGGGTTTCATGAATTTCAAGTTTTTATGTGAGAAACAGGCAAGCGAGTTTCCGCGAGAACCACCAGGGTACACTTGATGTTAACTGATGACCGCCGCCGTAATACCTGCATAATCCGTAGCATTGCAGATACGGTACCACCTTTTAATAAAATGGGCACCGGTTGTGGAAACGCAGTGGTATAACACTTCCACTTCACGCAGGTCTTCTGTGAGTGAAGTTACTTGGACCCAGTTTTGTAAAATGTTGGCTACATGTGCCTCGCGGATATTGTAGACATCCGTGAGTGGCGGTAATCACTTAACTTCAGGTGTAACACGTCTGTCACCTTCTCACGTGAGAAGAAGAAAAAGGCATACCTTATTAAGGGAGATGCCGCTGCCATGACGATCCGGTGGGCGGCGAGCGGCACGGCGTCGTCGCAGACCAGCACCAGGTCTGAATATCTGGCGCCGCGCCACGCCGCGCCCACCTCGTTCAGGATGCAGGCGTGGTGCTTGCCGTACGTCAGGGTGAGCAGGCCCTCGCCCATCATTCCAGCACTGCGGACAAACGCGGTTGGACTTTATTACGGCGCCATATTGTTATCCTATTCAAGTTTATTAGACATTACGTGAACATATTAGATGATGTAACAGTTAAAGTTCTACATTAAGATGATTAATTATTACAAAATCTTGTTTACCGAAAACGTAATTTCCTGTGTTTATTATAGAAAAAAAAAAATTTACTACACGCACTTTAACTTCGGTTTGAAACCATAATCTAACCGAAATTAGGCGAGACTGATTGCAGAAAATAATTTTTTCGCATGATCGTTACAACTGCAACGAAATCGGCCATTCGTGTTTGTGAAAACATTAACAAGGGCATTCTGCCGTTTCTCGTGACCGCTGAAAAGGCAATTTTGTGATGAGCTCGATAAAATGCATTCTCGAGGCTACGCCAAATGGATGAATAGCTACCGACGAAGTGAAATCTCACCGAATCGGTCTCCGTCATAAGCGTTCTCTGTCTATCAGTTGTTCTATAACGGAAAGTCCGGTCGAAAGGAGGCAAGGCTGCGACCCGAAAACTGTTCCTACGCTCCGACAATCATCATGTTTATTGCAACCAGTTACAGTCCACTGCTGAAGACAGGCCTCTTGCACATACCGTGATCCTGAGCCATCTGCATACATCGACTTTCCGCGCATTTGCACAGGTCATCACACCGTCTATTCAGGGCTGCTCTACACTATGACGGCCGATACGCTCCGTCAGCGACCGATATCGAAATCAATGCGCCCGACCTTTCGGGATGACAATGGCCCGCGTGGCGAACAAAGACTGTCTCATTTCAAAAGGTGAAGAGGTGATAAGAATTCAAATGTGGTCGCGGTCGCGCGATGTCAAAAGTGGACGCGGCTCCAGGTCGCCTGGTGCTAGAAAGCCTGTCGCAACTTGACCTTGGCGCGTTGTCGCAACGCTAGCAACGCGTCGCTCGGGACCGCTTAAAACGCGATCAGCCGTCGCTTCTCGGATTGTCGGTTGCCGAGGCCAGTGGGAGCGGACCCTCATTGTTGCGGCCAACGGATGGCATTGTTGCGAGGTTTTATACCAAAGCAACATTTTATTGCGTTTAACAAAGTTTTCTCCGAGTCCTGGGAAGTTCAGTTAAACCAAAATCCCTCTCAACTAGTCTACCCAGGTGGCCTTTGTTACGATTGCTCAACACTTTTCGGCTTTATGTTCTCAACGATTATTGATTATTTAGATATTTTTGTATAAGAAATGTAACTTTAGATGGATCGCTTTTTCAATTTACTCTAGTGATATTTGCGCTTATGAAGTTTTAATACAGATCAAAACTTTTCAATATTTTTTAAATTCATCATCTCATATTTCATTAAGAATAGATGAAGATGGTTTAGATATACGATAGATATACGTGCCAACAAAATCTTCAGTGCGTGTTTCAAATTCGTGTTGATTTTGTTCGGACTGTGTTGGACTGGGTCAATTAGGTTCTAATAAACTCTAATTGAAGGCCGAGTTTCACATATGCATGTATCGACATATAAATAATCGTTTCGTGTTTAAGTATAATGATATATCACTTGTATAATCCGTAATTTGTTTTCATTCCTCAAACCTGTTTGGTATTTTTTTGTAATTATAACGAAACTGGTATATTTCTCCTACTATATTATTATTCATAGGCCATTGAGAATGTTATTAAACGCGTAGGTGCAACACGTTTAATAACGTCATTATGATCCTTAGTATGTATTATACCTGATTAATTACAGAGTAAACACAATTTTTTTGCAAAGAACGAAAGGATAAAAGTGCTGTATCATCAGATATGTGATGTTTCGTGCGAAACAATGCGTATTCTTTTGATTTTGTAATTGTATACATTTTAAGCATGGAGGTACTTTTATTCGCACGTACCCGAATTTCGTTGAACTAAACGCAAAAAAATGACCGATAGATGTTTGTGAAAACAGTAACACACGTAATATAAGAATATGTATAACGATTTAATAATCGTTATACATATTCGAGATACAGCAATTTTAACCTTCTTTACATGCTTCAATGAAATTTATATTTTACCTGAATTTTGACACGAAAAAATTCATTGCTAGTTTTGAAATTAAAGTTTTTTGAGACGTAGAAATAGTAAGCTTTCTCTATACTGTGTTAAGTTTTAAGATATTTAGAGCTATTAACTGGTGTTGTACTGGAAACTTTTCTGTGTTTACGGTGATGTTAAATAGTTGCTCGTAAAGAATGCCTCGCATGTTTTCAGGGCGGCGCGGGCGCAGCCATGCGTGCCTGTCTCTCCCGCCATTGTTCATGTGAAACCGCACGTGACTGCAAATCACAAGTTTTGCAAAATGCCATCAGTTAGCAGAGCTGCCATTTAAATGAGAACAGTTACCCCTGTAGGTATCAGCATCATCCTCATAAAACATTACTTAAGCAATTTCAAACCCCTTAAATGTGGGCACTATAAAATATTTTAAGAATAGTATTTTGTTTGAAAACTATGTTAGTATGTGCGTATGACGAACAAATGACAATAATTGTTCATTACTATGTAAAAAAGTTTTATCAAGGCAATAATCTTTTCTCTTACTAGATTTAAGATTTGTTAGAACCCTCTTTTTTAATTATATTTATATTAAATATTGTAGCTGTGATTAATAAAGAGATAACTACGGGAGACTAAATTATATAAAGCCCAGGGTAAAAAATCAGAAATACCACACATTATTATGATTATCTTTTTATTATCTTTGATTGCTTTTAACAATTATTAGGATAATTTATATATTTCATTGGAATGAACACATTAATATTTATGTTCTATACCGCCATCTGTCAAAGTACTATAATATATGTGGAAGTATTAAATATTGTAAAGGTATAGGAACTTCCCAACTAGATGGCGCTTAGCTTTTTGAATCATTCGTTAACTAGATGGCGCGTCGAACCAAGGAAGCTACCGAGAATACATTTTCATTTGCACAAAAAAGATTTTAATATTTTTGTTCTTAATATTCACAGACTGCTGTTGAAACGTATAATGAATTGTCGACCTTGGCACAGGTTAAGCATATTCTTACTTTCACTGAAACTTTTTAATAAACAGAATTCCGGAAACATTTAAATACAATCTCTTTATTTGCCTCTTACTCATTTAGTTATGAAGGTGGTTCGGTTGAGCAATTGGTCTTAATGGTATTTATGGATTATAATAAAAACAAAACCGGTGGCAATGTGCAAGTACATGCTAATATAGATATCAAATAAATGGATGGATACTGACAAATATTGGTACAAGCATGCTCTTGATTTTATTTGTATATTAACTATTACATTTGTAATTATATTTTTTTTTAATTGACGTTCGGTTATGATTTATTGATCCACTTTATTATTAATACACCAAGTGGATTAATGAGAGGTTTTAGGTTAAGGTCACGAAATAAAATAAAATAAAAGTATTAAGGCTGTTTTCTTTTTGTAATTTGGCGACTATCTCTATTACTTTACATGTAAATTTTATGACAATTGAACATAATCAAATCATATTAAGAAAGAAACAGGAAGCGTTGCTACTAGATCTTTATGTAAACAAGAAGCAATAAAAATATCTCAATCGGTAACAAGAATCAAGTGTACACTCAAGGTTGGGTCATAAAAGAAACGCCCGCAGTGTTATATAATTCTACCCACACTAATTATCTACGTACCAACCAAGAATGGTCAGGCTGCGTTATTAACGTATACCAGATCCATACGGGGGTCTCGATAGTTGGCGTGAATGGTTTTTATGACGGAGTCACATTGTAAAAGGTAGGACAGTAGGGCCATTTTGCCGATAATAATTACAAAAAGATTAACTTAATCGAGAGAGTGGAGACTAACACCGATGTTCTTACTGTAAAGAGTGCTATTTTAAGTGAGCGATTGGGTTATAACACTGTTTCATTGTAGTACGTAGGAACTTCTCCACAGTAAATTTCAAAGTACAATACTGCGTTGTCTTCCAATTCACAGGTACAAAAATCAATCCTTAAAAAATTTTCATTTGAGCTGTAATTGGACAAAAGCATCTTCAAGAAACAAAAATTAGATAGATCACAATAAAATACAATTACAGGGAAAAATCTAATGTATTTTTCCTTCTTCAGAAAATTATACCTACTAAAAAATATTATTCAACCTTATTATACATTATTTATATCTACTAGAAGTATATACGGGTAAATTTTTGGTACTTATCATGAAACAGGCACGATAAACTTATAGCGAAGGACTTCCGCACTATGGTAGTTAGTTACTAATAAACTACACGCACAATATAAAATTACTCTTTAACTTTATATGTATCTTCATATGTAAATTGCTATTAAGCGATTACGTGTCTTAGATATCTTTAGTTTTTAAATGTATCAAGTCAATGAATACGGCAAATAAATAAATAGGTAATGGCGTACCGTTAAAAGTTAATAACGCGTTTGCGAAACGTTTCACGACGCCGGTGTTGCAAGCTATGAAATTGTAAGGCACAGACAGCGCCACTGTTGGACTACTGGAGCGTAGGATTGGGAAAAAAGTTTCCAACTTTCCCCGACCGTTGCCAAATCGTCGAAAGTTGCGAAAATCGGGAGCCGAGTGATATTGTGGCATTTCTATGATCGTCAAAGCAATAGTAATGTACGATTTTAATTCAGAGATCTCAATCTAAACTATTGCAGCAACGGGTACTTTGTACTCTTTCGCATTAGAAGTGACATCACAGTACGAGTTGGAACATTGTAATTGTCTGATTCGTTGTAATATTTCATTATGTTTAAATATCGAATATCTGCGATATCGATACACGCATATTTGCGTTCGCATTTTGCTAAATTGTTGTTTGCTTTCGACATGTGGCGCTCAAGGTTTAAATGAAATGTATTTCACTGGTCTATTTATTTACGTTATTATACTTTCTATGGCAGTTGTTACGTGGAGTAATAATAAACTGGTAACGTAATAAAATTTGGCAATGATAACGTTTTAAAAATTTTAATGATAGAATTTTTTTATGTGTTATAGGGTAAGCACATACCGCACAGAAGCACTAAATATTCAAAGTTATTTTATGCGTGTTAAGTGTAAGTATTCCTAACATTTTATGGACCAATCTTACTAATAGTAGAGCTTTAATATAGGTAGTAATGATCAAAAGCTCTAAGTAACAATCGGAGGAAAACGTTCGCTATTATCAAATTAATTGTGAATTAAACTCAAAAGTGCAACGTGATGTACTTTGTACGTTATAATGATAATTACACATAAACTCCACAACATTCGCGGTAAATCAACGTCAACGCCGATACCATCTCAAATGGCCTACATTTACAAAGTTCCCAACCTAACGGCCCGTGATATTACATATCTCACTGATGACAAAATCACACCGAGCAGAAGTGAAGCGAATGTTGAACCGATTAAGTGCCGAGCACGCTTTATTCGGACAGCCAAGAATGCAGAAAACAATTAAACCGTCGTCCCATCGAGCTGAATTTCAGCACGGCCCGATGCGTACATTACAATCCCACAGGCGAACGAGACGCGTTAACGGGCCCAACGACAGTTCACGCTCTACTTCTGCCACTAAACGATCTATACAATTAGATTGTCCACATCGACGCGAGCCGGTCGGGACTCCAAGCCTTCAGGCACACGGACGCCCAACAGAAATGAGATACTCTGAAAACGCGACGATCGTAGTAACAATTCGGGCCAACTGAGCAACAGGGCGTCCCCTGGGTGCTCCTAAGCCGGGCTACAGAGAGCAGTGATGTAAGCGGATAGCCGTCGAACAGGAAATCGCAGGGCGCGTGGCGAGCGATACGCGGCGCACGCTTTGTGCCGTCGGCCTTCGGGCGAAATGTTTGCGGCAGCGGCTGCGTGTCCTATACCACGGGCGTTATGTAAGCCGGCCCCGCAACAAGCGGCCCATTCATGAGAGACGCGGCCCGCAACGTCAGCACATCCTCCCGCCGCCTAATTTGTTTTGACACCGTCCGCAACGCCCCGCAATCCGGCCGTTTTGTTATTGCGCGTCTGGGAATTGATAAGCGTCGTTCCGCCGTCCGATATTTTCTTCACCTACCAAAACAAGGAACAGACGGAGTTCGAAATGACGCCGACCGGAGTCGCGCGAGATCATTGTCACTATGATAATTATTTTTTTCCTCGTCAAACACTGTCGTCCGTCCGCCGCTTTACGGTATTCGTTGAATTTATGCGTGTTCCTCTATCGGCCGATTATCATAATTATAGAGGGAAAAAAGTCATGAATTATTCGTTCGTCTGTCTTTATGAATAAACTTATAGAGAAATATCCCGATAAAGTTATTGGCTGTAGATATAAAAGTGGAGCGTATTATGACTTTTTGGCTGCTAACACCGCCGTAAAAGTTACTATTATGTGCTTATTGCTGGCGGCGATTTATAAATTCTGACAGAATTGAGTTGGACGTGTTTATTTACCTACAGATCGAACGGTCAATAACTTTTGTTTAAAGTAACAACGAACACATCCGAGATTTCGTTAGAGACTTTTATACGAAATCAAACAACAGGAATAAAACTATCCTTAGCAGTGCGCACGTCGCGTGGCAATCCTCCGACGGAGACCATAACGTTGGCAACGGATGAATGTGTTTATTTATACCATTACTCCAATGCCCTGCGTGAGAGTCTTGGGCCGAAAGCGCGAATCAACATTACCTTCGTTGATGCTAAAATAGCTGCAACAGTTACACTCTCACCTTGCTTTTGATTGACGATTGATCCCTTGTGCCAGATACTTGCTAACGGATACCGCAAATACATATGCGACGCACTATGAAGCACGTAACTGTGATGATAAAAAGCGGACAAAGCCATGATATTTCAGAAACAGCTCATATCATAGTTTCACTCTCAGACATTAAAGTAAAATTTCCTCATCGCACTTAAACTATTAAAGGGATGCACATAATTGCACTCTTTATTGGTTAACTTTAAAATTGATTAATTATACAACATTTAATTAGATGATAGAATTTAAAAACTGATCCAAAATGAGAATGACTAAACGTGGATTATCTAAAAGGTATTTTTCAATTTGTAGACACTCCGATAGTTTTGTATTTTTACTACATTTATTTATTTAACACATGAGGTGATTCATTTTTTTACTTTTTTTCTATGTTCGCTTTGTTAACTTTTGTTTTTTGTTATGCTATTTATAGTCTACACGCCTAAAATATTGGACTTAAGTGACCGTCGAGGTAACAATGGAGACAGGCCTTAATGAAAAAACCTTCACATATCCGATGTTAAATCTAAATACAATGTAAATGTATAGGCAATTATTGTATTCCATTTATGTTCCGTTTAACTAGCCGAGGTATCGGAGACCTTTACGTTGTTGTTCATATTTTAAGAAAGGTTACCTAAATCTTTAATTAACTTGGTTGATTTGATAGAACTGATAAATTAAGATCATCTGTGAAACTACAGAAAAGTGATAATATGTTAAAGTTGGGAATCATAAAAAAATATTTGTCAAAGATGTTTTGATTTAGTACGTGCAGTTTAATTCAATACTTTAACCTTTTGCCCTCGTGTATTGACCGATAGATAATAAATGTTGCAACTTCCGCGACAATGTCCATTTATCTTTTGACCTTTTGCGACATTTTTTTGATTATTTTCGAGTAGGCGTAAAAGTTTCAGTCAAAGATGCAATTGGGCCTCAAAGATGCGATTGGTACAAATTTCCCGATGCTCTAAATACTCGTGCAATCCTGATGTTTATTTGGCATATCGTCCAACATTAGTTTTTGCTCTAATTGGGGTTACTTGGGAACGTTGCCCTCCAAATTGAATTCCGCAACCGGATAGGGATCTCACCCGACCGCCCCTAGCGTGTTTCTCGGCTTTCGCAACGATTTTCGTTCACTAACAAATCCACTTCGTGTCCGACATTTCGCGAACAAGCTGTTAGAGGAATATTTATAAAGAACGTGTCTAAGAAAAGGTCGGATTTGATTGTCGGCTGCAATTTCGAGATCTGTTGTGTTATTATAACGAACCATGATGAATAAAGTCATCTACATATGTACGTGCGCTTCTCACGGCGCTAATACGGTTGACCTTGTGTAAGTTAGACCAGAATAAGCTTCGAAAACATCAGTGTGCTTGTTGAGAGGCGGCCTGTTGGAGTGTAAAAATGATTTAGGAGTGTGAAAACAAATATTGTTCGATCGAATCAGTTGGCGGTGTCTTCCGTTTACTTGACGGTTCTATACGAATGGACCGAGGTGAGCCGGACTCGAGCCAAGGTCCGTTTTGAAATAGGATGGCACTTGACCTTCAGGATGAAAGTCAACAGTGTTGCGCAACGTATCGGCGTGATTGCCGAGGCACTCTATGCTAATAACGGCTGCGAGACACATAGCATCGCCTGGTCATGACCCACATAGCACGTTCAAGGATTTCACATGTTTGGAAGGCGGCGATTTCAAAACTGTCAGAATTTTTAGGCGCGCGTTCGTTAGCGAGGCAACGCCAAGGCGAGACGCGGCAAAACGGCCGCATTCTAAGACATCTGAGAAAACGAGCAAGTCATCCGTTTTCCCCTTATTTCCCTTTATCCACTGACGCAGATCTATTTACAATCAAATGGAAACTTCTATTATATGATTCATTTGCTCGTTAATTGCGCATTTTGCCCTGCTTTCTGAGAAACGGCATTTCACCCAATAAACGAAGAGAACGTTGTGCGACGATAAACAAAATCACGTAAGTTGTGAGCATAAAATCCCGTCAGATTAGATTTTCACCGCTCCTTTCTACTGGTCTATGTTCAAACGCACACAAGGAGATTGCACGTGTGTCGTTGATGTGTGCGGCTGTTACGCTGGTGTGAGTGAGGCACGCGCACACGTGAAGCGGTAGTGTTTGTGGGAGTGGAGCGTGCGTAGATCCGCGGGCACGGTGCAATGGAGGGGGTTAGGGCCGGCGAGCGGGCCGCGGTTTTGTAAGAGCGTTTTATTTCAAGGTCACCCGAGCAGTTTTTAGAAAGTTACCTCACACACGTTCAAGTGTTAGGTAAAAATTAATGAGATTTACATTTCTTCAGTCCACGCACATTCGGAATCGATTTGAGCTGATCGACCGTGCAATCGTCTTTAAATAATCCTGCGCCGTTTCGATTGTATCAAATAAATTGAGTTTGATTGTAACAGATACTTCATCATATTGTGATTAATGATTTTTATTAATAATTGTTGTAACCACCTCGAATAAAAAAAACCTCTAAAAACAAATTAATATGGAAATTATTCCGCTTCTATTAATTGGATTACGAACCACAGATAACGGATATAGTCATGTATCAATTAAAAATATTTATGTCAAGCATGATAAAAGTTTTAGTGTTGCGTTTTATCTATACTGTAGAAAACAGAAATGAAACGGCGATGTTCGACTAATCGGAAACAATTCGTAAATACTGCAATTAATTGCTCATTAAACGGCAATTAATTTCTGATACAAGAAATATCCGAAGGGCTTTAAATTATAGGGAAATTATTTTGCTACTCTAATCGAAAAATCAACGTTTTCATGTTTATCTGTGTAACGTTTATTTAAGTATAGTTAAGATGGCAACGCTACACCACTCGAGGGACGTACGTTTTGTTGGCATCTTCGCATTTCGCAAAAAAGAAACATATGGAAACGGCCATTTCCATATACGACGCGATGATCTCCTCTCCTGCGTCGGAATGATGAAATTCACTCGGCTGCCATTTCGTCGCTTGCGCAACGTTCACGCTAAATTTTGCTGACAGAGAAAGTATACGAAAGGCTTTACGTAACGCAACCACGTAACTTGTAGCGACTCGGTTTTGATTTCCTCGCTTTTACGTCCATACTGTTACGTGATATCTTTTTTTTTTGGGCTAATTTTTACTCGTTAAGACATCTCACGTTAGTGTTTGCTGTTTTGCAATTTGCACAATTAGAGAGATACTTTTCGCCGTAACAAACTTGCAAGTTTATAGCAATGCGTTTGTAATGATTTAACAAATCGTACATAGGCAGTTGAGTGAACATTTGAATTTGACCTCGTATTTCTTACTTTCTCTTATACTATGATATTTTAGGCGTGGAATATTCTTAACGTAAGTTATTGGCATAAGCTATTAAAGTAAGTTATAAAATGTAAACTTTCTTGATCTTATAAGAGTATCGTGTGGTTTGATAATTGGTAGTGTTTTCAAATAACTAAGTTCAACAGTTTTTTTTAACGCTTTTCGTACATAACGTCCGGCATTTAACGCCATTGCATGATTTGTGAGAACTGTTTAGCTGTAGCTCAATGATCTGTCCACATTTTCTCGAGCACCGTGGTAACGCTGCGTTTCCATATCGGGAATAAATAGTTTTAAGTCGTGACCGCCACAGCCGCTGCCGACTAAATCGCACTGGCTGTGAGAAATCATGCTCCAAAGAGAAAAAAGCGTCGTAAACGAAACGAGTTCTCGTGACGCAAAAATCGCTATCTAAGTAAAGATTAAGCGGGGCGAGATTCCTCCGGTGGGCTGCAACCGGTCACAATACAATCTCTGTCCCAATTTCCGAGTTATCAGCGAAGTTAAATATTCAAATCAAACGGGTGCGGGGAGATAAGCGTGGCCGATTTGCGTCTCGTTGACTATTGGTCTCTTAACGCGGCGCTTCCGCGCCCAAATCGGTTTCCACACGCCTTTCTATCCGCATAGAATTTTCCAGTCCATTTTAAATGGCCTTCTAAACACGAAACGTACGTTCAAAATCGACTTCGATATTCGAATGTCGGACTTTTTGAAAACCGAACTGTCTGACAACACGGCGTCGGTATGCGGAATCGAATGAGAATTACATGTTCGATTAAAAGATAAACAAAACGAGATATCCTTTCGCATGAAACGAGGGCAAAAACTTGTCGAGGAAGAGCGCTGAGCGAGCGATTGTTCTTGTGTTTCCCTTAATTAAATGTTTGTGTAAAGATTGCTCAAGCTGGAGAGATGTGCCGTAATTGCTCGACGGTTATCTTCTTTCACAACGCCACGGCAAACATTCGCCCGGGGTTCGTGTCGGCCACGTGTTCACGGTATTTGACGAACCTAGCAGGTTTGAAAGTCATCGTGGGTAGACTGGTGACGAGAATGTCGCACTTTAGAGAACAACTTTCGTATCATTGCAGAATAAATTACTTTATTTTGCTTAATATGGAAATTGGTATGATTTGCTTTTAGTTTGTTTTCGAATGATACAATTGGAAAGACACTCGAAGCCGGTTAGAGTGTAACGAAAGAAAAACAGCTGAATACATTATGTAAATAATCGGATTTTATATTTATTTGATATGTATATTATATTTATAATTAAATATGCTTAATACCTATATCAGAGAGGAAGAGAACTTTTTAATTGAAGATTAAAATTAATTTCATCCATTTTCATCCATCTTTATCAATTTATATAATAAAATTTATTTATAAAATATTTAAAAACTTATTTACTGTTTGATTCTAATCATATAAAATGGTGTTGTATGTAGAAAAAACTTTTGTCCACGTTAAAAGATATGCTAGACTTTAAAGTCTACTGAAAATCTACTTTTCGCAATGATCAAGTACTTGTTTTCAAATAACTAAATATTCCTTTGTTTGTCCAAAACCGCAATTTAAGTGACTTACAAAATGATTTGGTAATCTATTTTTAAACATGAACTGGAAAATTTTAATATTTAAGTTATATTTAATTGTGTGCACGTAAGAATAATCATTTAATAACAA